GGGGGTCGGGGGGGCCCGGGCCTGGCCGCGCTCCGTCCGCCGCCCTGAACAAAAGAGCCCGGCCAGCGCCGCTGCCCGCCGCGCGCACCGCGCCTGCGCCGCGCCCGCGCGGGGTGCGCCGGGAGGTGTAGTCCGGCCGCGCCGCCAGCCGCAGTGCGTTCCGTTGGGGGCGCGCGGGGGGTGATGGGAGGTGTAGTCCGTGGAGAACGGCGGCTCTGCGTGCGCGGGGGGTGTGATGGGAGGTGTAGTCCGCCGTGCTCGCGGGGCTTGATGGGAGATGTAGTCCGGGATGGTCAGGCCCCTGTGTTCTGCTCGTAACTATATAATTAAATACTAATTAAATTAAGTTAAATACTAATTAAATTAAATTAATTTAATCATTAACCGTGGGAAAGTCCTCGCTGGTCTTCGAGTCCAAGCCGTGACCCAAAATCGCCTTGTCCATCAGGTCAGAGCCTGAGTGCCACCTCCTGTGGCCTACGCCAGTGCCCAGGGAAGGGTCTCGTTCATGGCATCCATAAATAATCGTATTTAGGGAATCTTGGAGTCGTTCAGGATGGATTGCCACGTCCAACCATTCCCCCAGCACTGCCATGGCACAGCCAACTCCTGTCCCCATGTGCCACATCCACGTGGTTTTGGGGATGGGGGCTCCAGCACCAGCGTGGGCAGCGGTGCCAGTGTTAGATCTCCCTTTCCGTAGAGAAATTCCTGCTGATGTCCAGCCTGAGCCTGTTCCCTCTCCTCCTGTCCCTGTTCCCTGGGAGCAGAGCCTGACCCCCCTGGCTGTCCCCTCCTGTCAGGGAGTTGAGCAGATCCAGAAGGTCCCTCCTGATCCCCCTTTTCCCTGGGATAAACATTCCCACTCCCTCAACCGCTCCTGGATCTCCAGCCCCTCATTGTCCCTGAGCGGCGGTGGCCCCCTGGACCACAGCGACATCCGAACTACAACTCCCAGCATGCCTCGCACCGGAAGTTCCGGCCACACCCGCGCTATAACCGCGCGCGCTGCCGCCGCTGCTTAAAGGGGCCGCGGGCTGTGCGAGGTGAGGGGGCCCTGAGGGGAGGGGGCAGATTTGGGGGGTCCCGGCTGGGTCCCCTCGGGGGTTCCCGGTGTCCCCAAACAAAAAAAAAAACCCACCCCCCCCTCCCAAAACCCAAACCCAAACAAACGAACAGAAAAAAACCCAAAAAAGCCTCTCCCGGCAGGGCCGGGCCGGGGCTCGCCCTCAGAGCTCGGCTGGGCTCGGGCCGCGGCTCCGATCCCTGTCCTGAGGAATTTTTTCCCTCCCTAGAAGGCAAAATTCCCTGGAATTCCCCCCGCGGTGTTTTACAGGCGGCGTGGGAAAGGAATGAATGGGATTCATTCCCGTTTTTCCTGCTTTTCCCTGCGTTTTTGGGACTCGAGGAGGTGCAGGACATCACTAGAACTGGGATCAGGAGTCCTGGAAGGCAAAAAGTCCTGAAAAAATGAATTCCAATGTTTTAGAGGGGCGGCAGTGTCCAAGGAAAATAGCGAACAAATGGGATTGATTTATTAACATCCTCAGGAATTCACCCGCGCCAGGGAAAATCAGGAATAAGTGGGATTCATTCCCGCTTTTTTCTGCCTCTGGAGGGTTTTGCATGGATGGGAATGAGGATTCCCGCTGTTCCAGAGGGTTGGGGAAGGGTTTTAGGGATGGATAAAAGATAAGGAGCCTGGCAGGAATTCCACCTGGAATCCTCTCTTGGAACATCAATCCCGGGCAGCAGAGCCTTGGAAAATCCCGAATTTGAGGGAAATAACCCCAAAGCGGGAATCCCGGAGCCCCTCAAAATGAGGCTTTTCCCAGATTCCAGGGATTTCCAGCATTCCCAAAATCTGCAGGATCCCAGGAATCTGGGGGGATTTCTCTTTCTAAATCCTTTTTTTTTTTTTTTTTTTTTTCCCAGATGTTCCCCACTGGGCTCTAGGATGTTGGAGAACCGAGAGGAAGTGAGGAGCATTCCCGGTTTATTCCCAGATTCTGGAATTTGGGCGAGTTGAATTCTTGGGAATTCCATCTCCTTGGAATAATCCACGGGGCTGAGTGCAGGAGCAGCTGGGAATGGGAATGGGAATGTCTGGGAAAGCAGGGATGGGGTGGATCCCGGTTTTTGGAGCGCTCTGATCCCATTCCCGGGAATCTGGGAAGGCGGGGCTGGGGTGGATCCCGGTTTTTGGAGCTCCCTGATCCCATTCCCAGGAATCTGGGAAGGCGGGGCTGGGGTGGATCCCGGTTTTTGGAGCTCCCTGATCCCATTCCCGGGAATCTGGGAAGGCGGGGCTGGGGTGGATCCCGGTTTTTGGAGCTCTCTGATCCCATTCCCGGGAATCTGGGAAGGCGGGGCTGGGGTGGGTCCCCGTTCCCGGAATGCCATTCCCGGAATGCCATTCCCGGAATCCCGCAGGAGCTGACCACGGTGCGGGTGCAGGATCCCCGCGTGCACAACGAGGGCTCCTGGAATTCCTACGTGGATTACAAGATCTTCCTGCACGTGAGCCAGGAGCGGGACACGGGGAGGGAGAGCTGGGATCGGGATGAGCCCTGGGAAAGGCTTGGGATTGGGATGAGCCCTGGACATGGAGGGGAATCCTCGGGATCACGTCCTGGATCCAGCACTGAGGGGATCCCACAGTGACTGAGATGCTGATCCTCGATCCCATGGAGAATTCCCATGGGTAATTCCCATCCTGGATCCTCTGTCCAAGCCAGATCCAGCCCTTGATCCCATGGAGAATTCCCATGGAAAATTCCCATCTTGGATCCCGCTGTGACTGAGATCCTGATCCTTGATCCTGTGGAGAATTCCCAGGGATAATTCCCATCCTGGATCCCTCAGTCACTGAGATCCTGCCCCTTGATCCCATGGAGAATTCCCGTGGAGAATTCCCATCCTGGATCTCGCAGTGACTGAGATCCAGCCCTCCATCCTACTGATAATTCTCATGGAGAATTCTCATGGATAATTCCCATCTTGGATCCCTCGGATCCAGCCCCTTGATCCCATGGATAATTCCCAGGGATAATTCCCATCCTGGATCACTCAGTCACTCAGATCCAGCCCTCAATCCCATGGATAATTCCCAGGGATAATTCCCATCCTGGATCCCTCAGCCCTCGATCCCAGGGAGAATTCCCAGGGATAATTCCCAGGGGTAATTCCCAGTAGTAATTCCCGGGGAGAATTCCCAAGAGTAATTCTCAGGGATAATTCCCAGGGGTAATTCCCAGAGATAATTCCCATCCTGAATCCCTCAGCCCTCGATCCCAGGGCTAATTCCCAGTAGTAATTCCCAGGGGTAATTCCCAAGGATAATTCCCAGGGATGATTCCCAGGGATAATTCCCACGGACAATTCCCAGGGATAATTCCCATGGATAATTTCCATCCTGAATCCCTCAGCCCTTGATCTCAGGGATAATTCCCAGGGATAATTCCCATGGATAATTCCTATCCTGGATCCCTCACTCACTCAGATCCAGCCCTCAATCCCAGGGATAATTCCCATGGATAATTCCCACGGACAGTTCCCATGGATAATTCCCATCCTGGATCCCTCAGCCCTTGATCTCAGGGATAATTCCCATGGATAATTCCCATCCTGGATCTCTCAGCCATCGATCCCAGGGGTGATTCCAGTGGATAATTCCCATCCTGGATCCCTCAGCCATCGATCCCAGGGGTAATTCCCGTGGAGAATTCCCAGGATAATTCCCATTCCGGGGGTTTTTCCCAGACCAACAGCAAGGCTTTCACCGCCAAGACCTCGTGCGTGCGGCGCCGCTACCGGGAATTCGTCTGGCTGAGGAGGCAGCTCCAGAAAAACGCTGGATTGGTGTAAGAATTCCCGGGATACAGCCCCAAAACTGCTGGGATTTGAGCTCCTGGCCGTGCCCATCCCGATTTTTCCCCCCGGTTTTTCCAGGCCGGTGCCGGAGCTGCCGGGAAAATCCGCGTTTTTCGTGGGCAGCTCCGATGAGTTCATCGAGAGGCGGCGCCAGGGGCTGCAGCAGTTCCTGGAGAGGTGGGAGCGGGGTCTGGGGTTGTTTGGGATGGTTTGGGGTTACCTGGGATTTGGGATTGTTTGGGGTTTTGGATTTGGGGTTTTGGATTTGGGGTTTCGGTTGGTTTGGGGTTTCGGTTGGTTTGGGGTTTGGGATGGTTTAGGGTTTGGGATGGTTTGGGGTTTGGGATGGTTTGGGGTTTGGGATGGTTTGGGGTTTGGGATGGTTTGGGGTTTGGAGTTATCTGGGATTTGGGATTGTTTGGGGTTTGGGATTTGGGGCTATCTGGGATTTGGGATTGTTTAGGGTTTTGGATTTGGGGTTTAGGTTGGTTTGGAATGATTTGGGGTTTGGGATTATCTGGGGTTTGGGATGGTTTAAGAGTTTGGGATGGTTTGGGGTTATCTGGGATTTGGGATGGTTTGGGGTTTAGAATTATTTGAGGTTTGGGATTTGGGATTTGGGATGGTTTGGGGTTATCTGGGATTTGGAGTTTGGGAAGGGCTGAGGGGAGGGGACAGTGCCTAGAGGTGGCCAGGAGGTGACAGCAGGGAGGGCTGGGTGACCCTGGGTGACCCTGGTGACCTGTCCCTGCTGTCTGTGTGCCCTCAGGGTGGGAGGTGACAGCAGAGGTGACAGCAGAGGTGACCCTGTCCCTGTGTGCCCAGGGTGGGAGGTGACAAGTTGACAGCAGAGGTGACAGTGTCACTCCCCGCAGAGTGGGAAGTGCCAGCAGAGGTGACAGGGTGTCAGCAGGTGACAGCAGGTGATGGCAGGTGACAGGGTGACAGCAGGTGTCAGGCTGACAGCAGAGGTGCCAGCAGGTGACCCTGTGAGTGTCCCTGTCCCCAGGGTGGTGCAGAGCACTGTGCTGCTGCCCACCTGTCCCTGCAGGGTGGGAGGTGCCAGCAGAGGTGACAGCAGGTGATAGCAGGTGACAGGGTGACCGCAGAGGTGTCAGGGTGGCAGCAGAGGTGACAGGGTGTCACGGTCACAGCAGAGGTGACCCTGTGTGTGTCCCTGTCCCCAGGGTGGTGCAGAGCGCTGTGCTGCTGCCCACCTGTCCCTGCGGGGTGGGAGGTGACAGCAGGTGTCAGGGTGCCAGCAGGTGACGTGCCCATGTCCCTGTCCCCAGGGTGGTGCAGAGCGCCGTGCTGCTGCCCACCTGTCCCTGCAGGGTGGGAGGTGACAGCAGAGGTGCCAGCAGGTGATGGCAGGTGTCAGGGTGACCGCAGGTGCCAGCAGAGGTGGCAGCAGAGGTGACAGGGTGGCAGCAGGTGCCAGCAGAGGTGACCCTGTCCGTGTCCGTGTCCCCAGGGTGGTGCAGAGCGCCGTGCTGCTCTCCGACAGCCGCCTGCACCTGTTCCTGCAGAGCCAGCTGCCCGTGGCTGCCATCGAGGCGTGCGTGCAGGGCCGGGGCCCGCACTCGGTCACCGAGGCCATCCTGCACTACGCCATGGCCGGCTGTGCCTGGGGACAGCGCGGGGACAGCCCGGCCCTGCCCTGGGGACAGCGCGGGGACGGCCAGGCCCCACCCACAGCCAGGTAATTCCGAGGGGAGGGACCGGCACCGGCACCGGCACCGGCACCGGGCATCCCGGGATGGGATTGAGCGGCGGGAAACGGGCAGGGAAGAGGAGGAGCAGCCTGGGGCAGACCCGGATCGTCCCTAGGGATCCCAGGGAAGTCCCAGGTCCTTTTTGGGGATCCCAGGGTAGTCCTGGCTCCTTTTTGGGGATGCCAGGGAAGTCCTGGATCTTGGCTGGGGATCCTGGGGCATTCCCAGCTCCTTTTTGGGAATCCCAGCACCCTCCCAGCTCCTCCCTGTGGATCCCAGGGCAGTTCCAGCTCCTTTTTGGGAATCCCAGCACCCTCTCAGCTCGTCCCTGTGGATCCCAGGGCAGTCCCAGCCCCTTTTTGGGGATCCCAGGACAGCCCCGGTTCCTCATTGTCCATCCCAGGGTGGGATCTGTGCAGCAGGAAAAATCTCAGGGCACTCCCAGCTCCTTTTTGGGGATCTTGGGACATTCCCAGCTCCTTTTTATGGATCCCGGGGCATTCCTGGCTCTTCCCTGTGATTCCAAGAGGAATTATGGGAATGTTCCCCCTTTTCCAGCTCCGAGCTCGGTGCTCCCATGAAATCCCGACATTCCCTGGATCCCTTTTCCTGCTCTTTTCCAGCTGTGCCAGCCTGGAGAGCTTCCCCTACTGGAGTGACTTCGGCATGGACGAGGCACGGCCGGAGAGCCCGGCCGGACAGCGAGTGACCCCTCTGGACAGCCCAGAGAGTCCAGCTGGACACGGAGTGACCCCTCTGGACAGCCCAGAGAGTCCAGCTGGACACGGAGTGACCCCTCTGGACAGCCCAGAGTGTCCAGCTGGACAGGGAGTGACCCCTCTGGACAGCCCCGAGTGTCCAGCGGGACACGGAGTGACCCCTCTGGAGAGCCCAGAGAGTCCAGCTGGACACGGAGTGACCCCTCTGGACACCCAGGAATGTCCAGCTGGACACGAAGTGACCCCTCTGGAGAGCCCTGAGGAGCCCCAGAGTGTTCAGCTGGACACAGAGTGACCCCTCAGGACACCCAGGGATGTCCAGCTGGACACAGAGTGACCCCTCTGGACACCCTGGAATGTCCGGCCGGACACTGAGTGACCCCTCTGGACAGCCCAGAGTGTCCAGCTGGACACTGAGTGACCCCTCAGGACACCCTGGAATGTCCAGCTGGACACGGAGTGACCCCTCTGGACACCCAGGAATGTCCAGCTGGACACGGAGTGACCCCTCAGGACACCCTGGAATGTCCAGCTGGACACGGAGTGACCCCTCTGGACACCCCCAGGCCCCGCCACCCTCGCTGGGAGAGGGATCAGTGCGGAGCCACTGGGATGGACTGGGAGCACTGGGAATGCGGCCCCAGCCCTGCCCGAGCTCTTTCCCAGCAGATTCCCAATATTCCCTGATATTCCCAGCAGTGTTTTCCTCACTCTGCTCCTGGCTCAAATCCTCTGGAATTCCCAAACTGGGCTCTGATCCCTCTGGAATTCCCAAACTGGGCCAATCAGAGCTGAGTTTCCCGCCGGGAAAAGGGAGGGATGGGGCTGGAATTTGTGTCCCCTTCCCGCTGGGGCTGTTCCAGGGATTTTTGGGAAAGCAGGAGCAGCTCGGGGGGGATTTGGGGTCCTCCCCTCCCTCAGCACTTGGTGTGAGCAGGAAATAAAAATAAATAAAAATTTAAAAATAAATAAAAATAAATAAATAAAACGGAAGTGGAGGAGACTTTTCCGGGATCTGCCGGGCTCGGGGGTGGGAGAAGTATGGGGAATTTCAGGATTTCGGGAATTTGGGAATTCTCAAAGCTTGGGGCGGAGTTGGGGGAGGTTTTGGGTCCGGGGAGAGCTCGGGAATGTTGGGAATCCCTGTTGGGAATCCTTTGGAGGCACAGGGTTAGGGATCCTCTCAGAATCCATGAATCCACCCAGAATCTATGGATCCAGCCTGAAACCAGGGATCCTATCCAAATCCAGGGATCCAACCCGAATCCAGGGATCCTATCCAAATCTATGGATCCAACCCGAATCCAGGGATCTGATGTGAATTCAGGGATCCCCTCTGAATCCATGGATCTGATCCCAGCCCAAGGATCTGCTCCAGAGGGATCGGAGCCCAGTTCGGGAATTCCAGAGGGATCGGAGCCCAGTTCGGGAATTCCAGAGGGATCGGAGCCCAGTTCGGGAATTCCAGAGCCGGCAGGGCCCTACCACCATCTAGCGGCCCCGCAGCCAAGTGCGGGAGGGAAGGGAAACCAGGAAAAGCAGGAAAAGCAGGAAAAGGAGGGGGGAAAAAAAGCAGGAAAAGCAGGGAAAGCAGGAGGAGGATGCGCTGGATTCACCCTCACAGCAAAGGGGCCATTCCCGATAATTCCCGGTAATTCCCGGTAATACCCGGTAATTCCCGATAATTCCCGATAATTCCCGGTAATTCCCGGCCGTTCCCGGAGCAGCCAAACTTGGAGAGGAAAAAGGAATTTATTGAGGGAGAACACCTGGATTTGGGACGGGAGAACACCTGGATTTGGGATGGGGGAACACCTGGATTTGGGATGGGGGAACACCTGGATTTGGGATCTCCAGGAAATTTGGGATTGACCCCGGAAAAGCGGGATAGATCTCCGGGGAATTGGGGATTTTTGGGAGAAGAGGGATGCCTGCCTCAGTTTCCCCATGGAATGGCTCCCGCTGGGGATTTTTGGGATAAATCCGCTCGGTGCCAGCGCTGGGTCCTGCGGAGGAATCCCATGGGATTTTTGGGATTTTTGGGATTTGTGGGATTTGGGATCCAGGGAATGCTGTGGACCGGGCTGGTGCCGTCCCCGCGCTGCCGCTGCCGTTCCTGGTTCGGGAAAACCGGGGATGGAGACAAAGACACCGTGACCCCAAATCCCAAACCCCAAACCCGCACCCTAAACCCCAAACCTGACCTCAGGCACCGCAGCCCAAACCCCAAATCCCAAACCCCGGATCCAAAACCCCAAATTCTGCACCCCAAACTCAAAACCTGACCCCAAACCCCGAAGCCCAGACCCAAAACCCCAAACCCCAACCCCACAGCCCACACCCCAAACCCAAAGCCTGACCCCAAACCCCAAAGCCCAGACCCAAAACCCCAAAACCCCAAACCCCACATCCCAAACTCCAAACCCCGCCCCCCAAACCTGACCCCAAACTTCAAATCCCAAACCCCAGACCCAAAACACGCACCCCAAACCTGACCCCAAAACTCCAAATCCCACACCCCAGACCCCATAAACCCGACCCCGCACCCCAAACCCGACCCCACAGCCCTCACCTGTCCCGGTCACTCCTCCAGGTCGAAGGCGGGTTCCAGGAATTCCCTCGGGACGATCCCAATTTCCTGACCGAGCTCCCCGACCCACCAGCCGTACCTGTGATATTCCTGTGGGGCCGGGATTGGGGTCAGACCCTTCCTTTGGGGCTCCGACCCCAAAATCCCGCAGAAATACCTCAAACTCCACAAAAAATACTCCAAACCCCACAAGAAATACCCCAAGTTCTGCAGAAATACGTCAAATCCCGCAAAAAATACCCCAAACCCCACAGAAATACCCCAAATCCCACAAAAATAACCCAAATTCTGCAGAAATACCCCAAATCCCGCAAAAATACCCCAAACCCCACAGAAATACCCCAAATCCCACAGAAATAACCCAAATTCCGAAAAAATACCACAAACCCCACAGAAATACCCCGAACCTCACAGATGTATTCCAAATCCCACAAAAAAAAATGCCTTGAACCTCACAAAAAATATCCCAAATCCCACAAAAATATTCCAAATCCTCTGGGTCGTGGTTTGGGGTTTGCTCGGGAATTCAAGGTTTAATTCATATCCTGATGTTTTTGGGGTTTAATCCCAAATTCCAGCTCCCAGCCTGGAATTCTGGGAGCGTCTCCAGCGGGATTTTCCTGGGAAACTTTCCCTTTTCCCGGATTTCCGTGGGATTTAAGGAAAAATCCGAATTTATCCCTAAAATCCGAATTTACTCCTAAAACCCCGCGGGCTGAGCCGCCCCGCAATCCCAATTAAAGAAAAAAAAAAAAATTCCTTCTCGGATAAATCTCAGGATAAATCTCGGGATTTTTCAGCATCCAAATGGATGGAAAAAACCCCCACAAATTTATCCCTAAAATCTGAATTTATTCCTAAAATCCGAATTTATCCCTAAAATCCGAATTTACTCCGAAAACCCCGCGGGCTGAGCCGCTCCTCGGCCACTCCGCAACCCCAATCCCCACTTTTGCAACCCCAATTTTTTAAAAATTCCTTTTTTTAACTGAATCTCGGGATTTTTCACCCTCTGAAGGGATGGAAAAAAAACCCAAATTTATCCCTAAAAACCCCGATTTTATCCCTAAAACCCCGCGGGCTGAGCCGCTCCTCGGCCACTCCGCAGCCCCAACGCCGCATTCGCAACCCGAATTTTTAAAACCATTTCTGCTGGAATGAATCCTGGGATAAATCCTGGGATTTTTCATCCTCCGAAGGGGTGGAAAAAAACCCGAATTTATCCCTAAAACCCCGAATTTATCCCTAAAACCTCGAATTTATCCCCTAAAACCCCGCGGGCTGAGCCGCCCCCGCGCCCACTCTGCAATCCCAATCCCACTTTTGCAACCCCAATTAAAAAAAAAATTAAAAAATTCCTTCTCTGCCGAATCTCGGGATAAATCTCGGGATTTTTCAGCATCCAAAGGGATGGAAAAAAACCCCGAAATTATCCCTAAGTTCTAAATTTATTCGTAAAACCCGAATTTATCCTTAAAAACCCCGCGGGCTGAGCCGCTCCTCGGCCACTCCGCAACCCCAACGCCGCTTTCGCAACCCGAATTTTTAAAACCATTTCTGCTCCAATGGATCCCGGGATAAATCCCGGGAATTTTCATCCTCCGAAGGGATGGAAAAAAACCCCCCAAACTCTCGGCAGCCCAGCCGTCGTTTCCTCCCCCCGCGCGGGGCCAGGACGAATTAAAAGCGCATTAAACTCGCGGCAATAACGCTCGAGTCCTCGTCTCGCGCTGCCAAATTGCCCCGCGCTGCCTCGTGCAGATGTTCGTTAATTATGCTAATTTTTATTAAATCATTAGCGCCGAGCCCTGGCACGGCTGAGCTGCGTGAACTCTGCTCCCGCTCCTTCCCAGCTCGCTGGAATTCCTGGGTTTTGTTTTTTTGGTTTTGTTTTTTGAGTTTTTTTTTTTTTTTTTTTTTTGGGAAAGCGGGAGAGGAGGAGGAGGAGGAGGGTGAGGATGGGGTTTTGTTGGAATTTGGTTAATTAGGCGTTAATTAGGCTGGGGAAGGAGGGAATTTCGAGAGGTTTTATGGAAAGGGCTGGAAAGGAGCGGGTGGGTGGGGAAAGAGATTCCCGGGAGGAAAAGGGGATGGGATTGGAGGGGGGACAGGGGGGAACTGGGAGCACTGGGAAGCGGAGCAGCGTCATCCCCGTTCCCGGCAATCAGCAGGAATCGGGAAATTGGGAATCTGACTCCTTTCCGAGGCTGGGAATGGATTTAGGGTTGCTGGGAATTGGATTTGGGGGTCACCCCAACCCCACTCTCTCCATCCCTGGGAATGAGCTGGGAAGCAGAGCATCATCCCCATTCCCAGAAATCAGCAGGAATCAGGAAATTTGGGATCTTTCCAAAGATTTCAAATTTCAAAGCTGGGAACTGGATTTAAGGTCACCCCAACCCCATCCTCTCCATTCCCAGGAATCCCCAAACTGGGAATCCTATCCCACCAGGATCCACATGTCCCATCCCACCAGAATCTGTCCCATCCCA